TCTTGGAACAAAGACCAAGGTTTCATTGCTTGTGGAGGAGATGATGGGCTTCTCAGAGTCGTCAAGTTAGACAGTCAAACAGGTATGAAAGAGGATCAGCGGACATGGTTTACTGGGCTTCGAAACCTGAAGTGTTTTGCATCTATGCAAATATATATAGGGCCTAGTAGTCATTATATGGTTATTCTGGTGCCTTATTGTAAGATACTGTGCCATCTTGTTGACTCCTCCAGTAAAGATTAATCTCTAGTACTGACAGGTTTATTTATTCTTACATTTAACAGATGATGCCAGGCTCAAAGGTCTTGCTGCACCCAGTAATCTGTCCATGAACCAAGGTTTAGATGGGCACAGTGGTGAGTTAACAAAACTATACCATGTTCAGCCACTATTTGATAAAACATCTAACATATTTTAAATGATACCTTTAGGTGCTGTACAAGTGGTTACATGGAATGAACAATATGAGAAACTGACCACCAGTGACCAGAATGGCCTCATCATTGTGTGGATGCTATATAAAGGTGACTTGTGTATGTCTGGGAAAAAGCTGACTTTTCTATTTGTCTGTTTGGCTGTATAATGGGTATATTTGGTACAGGTGCTTGGTATGAAGAGATGATCAACAACAGGAACAAATCAGTGGTAAGGAGTATGAGCTGGAATGCAGATGGTCAAAAGATTTGTATTGTGTATGAAGATGGAGCAGTGATAGTGGGATCTGTTGATGGTAACCAATTTTTATTCCAGTCCATAATCTAGTTAATATCATGTGATGTACATTTTGAAAATATTATTTTTTTATGTAGGTAACCGCATTTGGGGAAAGGAATTAAAGGGAAATCAACTTGCTCATGTAGCTTGGTCCCCTGACAGCAAGATTCTTTTGTTTGGCATGGCCAACGGAGAAGTACAAATCTATGACAATCAAGGAAACTTCATTGTGAGTTCTATGATTTTATAATTATTTAACGTTACGTTTTCCTTGTGGATCAATAAAGTCTGTCTAAGTCTAAGTCTGTTTTTACAAATGGGTGGATTATGACATTATTGTTTTTATGATTTTCAGATGAAAATGACAATTTCTTGTCTGACAAATACAACTGGGGCTGTGAGTATAGCAGGAATCCACTGGTATGCAGGGACAGGAGGTTACATTGAGCCTGAGTGTCCCTGCTTGGCGATCTGTTTTGACAATGGAAAATGTCAGATTATGCGCTATGAGAATGATGAAAGTAAGAGAATTTTAACTGCCAAAGTATATTAGTATGAATTATATGGTTGTATGCAGTGACTCTCTTTCCTTCGGCAGATCCAGTGTTCATTGACACTATGATGAATGTGGTCAGTATCCAGTGGAACCATTGTGGCAGTGTCCTGGCTGTTGCAGGATGCCTCAGAACAGCAAATATGGATAAAGAATTGAATGTGGTTCAGTTTTATACACCATTTGGTGCGGTAAGCCTATTAGATCATTAGCCTTGTTTTGTGAATCTGGATCATATACAAAATACAGTACTTAATTTGAACTTTGTTTCTCATACAGCATCTTCGGACACTGAAGGTCCCTGGGAAACAGATGACAGGAGTTGCCTGGGAAGGGGGAGGACTGCGTATTGCCTTGGCTGTGGACTCCTACATTTATTTTGCAAACATACGACCAGATTATAAAGTAAATAGTAAATAAGTAAATATTATATTAGTCAGTTAGGCAGTTTCTCACTTCTACTAATTCTGTGTCCTATTAGTGGGGCTATTGTAGCAGCACAGTAGTGTATGCCTACACAAAACCAGAAAGGCAAGAGTACTGTGTGGTGTTCTGGGACACAAAAAACAATGAGAAGTTTGTCAAATATGTCAAGAGCCTTATGTCAATTACCACATCTGGAGACTTCTGTATTCTGGCCAGTAAAACTGATGACAGCCAACCTCAGGTACAAACAACAAGTACAACTAAGAATGATGAGTAATATATTCTACACAGATAAGCAAACATTATTGTTTGTTTTATTGTTTTTTTCTGTTGTTGCAGGAGGATGCTGAAGCCGAACCAGGGAATTATTCAAGGGTAATTGCTAAATAGACCAATAAGTATTACACAATGTTGTCAATCTGCTACTGACTTCTTGTTATAATAAAACAGCAGACGGTAACAAGACACTTAATTTAAATCTTTTTCAGTTTGTCTTGATTCTTTACAACTCCATTGGAACACCATTAGACTCAAAATACATTGACATAGGTAAGATTACATTTCTGTATCCATCTAATGTTTATATGATTTAACCATGCATCAAAACCCGTGTGCCCCTACATGTTTGCATAAATGGCCAGACCTTGTGCTATATTTCATGTCAATATGAGATTTCACACTGTCTGTATAGAGCGTTGTGTGTAATGTTGGTTGGTTGTTATGAATCGTCTTCCCACAGTAACAGCATCGTAATGCAAATAGAATGTAACCACTAGGCATTTTTTTTACAGTATGTCACAGATATGCAATATTCTGGCTTAAATAGTCCACTGTTTGAAGAAGAAGCCAGGCCAAGATACTTCAAAGTCTTTAGATTTGAAGGAGATGTGGCTTACAGTAAATAGGGGCAGGGTGCAAAATTTGCATGAGGTCAACTGCATGTCTCTCTAGGGGTCTGTCTGTTTTATTGGTTAATTTTTAAAAACAATTTTACATGCATTTAATCTGTCTTTTTATGTTTAGATCCACTTTACGTGACAATGACCAAGACCCATGTGATTGCTGCATCCAAAGAGGCCTTCTACTTGTGGCAGTACAGAGTGGCAAAGAAATTAACTGCACTGGAAATCAACCAAGTCACCAGGACAAAGAAGGAGGGGCGCGAGAGGTGGGTCATCACTTGGTACAGAGTTATTAAGACAAGCTGTAATTTAGTACTTGTATTAAAAAGAAAAAAAAAAGTATTAGCAGCCTATACAAGGAAATTTAATTGGCTTAGTGGCTTTGGGTGCTGGCACTGATAACCAAATGCCACTGAGGTTCCAGACAGGCAGACCAAAACCTCGTGTTCTGCCAGGGCTGTCTTCACACCTTTACCAGAATCCCATATTTCTCCATCTTTTCTCATATAGGTTGCATTCAACAGTTTTAAGTTTGAAGTCCTAATATCTAGCGGATAGAGGGAACTTTTAAAATTCTGTGGCTGAAGTCCACTATAGTTGAACTTTAATATTTTTGTCCACTACTGGTTTGGGTCCACATTTTTGTCATAGCTCAGAAGGACAAAAATTCTACGTATATGTTTACTTCTTTTTGCCTTGATAGTAAGTAGTAATTTGCCTTTCATGCATGCGTGCAGAAAGGCTTTTTAGCAGTTTTAGTCACATGTGGATAGACCCAGAAATTTCAGACACAGATATTAACCATAAACCATAGCACAACATTCATATGCCATTTCCTCTTGCCCTCAGAGTTTATCACATTGATAGTAATCCATCTACAACTTCTGATGGTGGTCCAGATTTTACAAAAGCATTTTCAGTAAGTATTTATGAGAATATTATTAACTTAAACACTTTAAAAAATTGTATTATTGTCATGCACCATAAAATAACAAAATGTTTTTTTTTTTCCAGTCAACGCAAGATCCCATTTGTGCTATTACAGCCTCAGATAAGACACTGATAATTGTAAGCATACATAAATATAAATCTACAATAAACTATTAGTTATTATGTGATTGTTATTGATTGTGTGTTCATTAACAGGGTCGTGAATCTGGAGTTGTCCACCGATACAATCTACCACAAGTTGGTCTAGTGCAGAAATACACTTTGAATAACAGAGCTTACTATCTCTCTATGAACTGTAATTCGAGGTATGTTTTGAAGCATGAAATTATTATCGATAGTTCTTTTGCAACTTTGTCTGGTAAATGATCCTGCCTTCAGTCGCTTGGCCATTATCGACATCGCTGGTGTGTTGTCTTTACTTGACCTGGATGCACGAAATGTGAGGGAGGATGTGCGTGACTCTGGTGCAGTTGGAGATCCTTCCAAATTTGAGCGAAAGGATGTGTGGGATATGAAGTGGGCCAAAGACAACCCTGATCTTTTCGCCATGATGGAGAAGACCAGAATGTACGTCTTCAGAAATCTAGATCCAGAGGTAATTACTTTATTAGATGTTTTAGATGTAAGTACTTTATTATTAGATGTTTTAGATGTAAGTACTTTATTAAATGTTTGATAACATATATACATGTTTGATAACATAATATAGTCTAAATAACTGAGGTATTGTTCTCTTATAACAAGGAACCTATCCAAACATCTGGGTACATCTGCAACTTTGAGGACCTTGAGATCAAGTCCGTGCTGCTTGATGAAATCATGAAGGTAAAGTCAAATAAAACTATTGTGTACTTGTTTTTTTAGACATACAGTAATAGGTCTTTTTACAGGATCCAGAGAGGCCCAACAAAGATAACCTGATTAACTTCGAAATCAGATCTTTGAGAGACAGCCGTGCTCTTATTGAAAAAGTCGGCATTGAAGATGCTTCACAATTTATTGAGGACAATCCTCACCCAAGACTTTGGTAAACAATATTTTTTTTCCAAGATTGTAGTTTCTGTCAATGTGACAGCAATAATGTTACTGAGATACTAAACCAAAAGTTGAAAGTTTGATCGCTGCTCTAACTAGTACATACTGCTGTTGTGTCCTGAGACTATTCTTAGTTGTCCATCAGGTGCACAAATGTGTTACTGAGACATATATATCTATTAAACACAAAATCATTTGTTCTGACTGAAGGCGTCTACTTGCTGAGGCAGCCCTTCAGAAACTGGATTTGAAGATGGCGGAGCAGGCCTTTGTTCGCTGTAAAGACTACCAGGGCATTGAGTTTGTGAAGCGCCTCAGGAACCTGAAGAGTGAGCCCATGAAGCAGGCAGAGGTGGCCGCATACTTCAGCCGCTTTGAGGAGGCTGAGCGCATGTACCTGGACATGGACCGCAGGTAAACATCACTAACTCAGCTGTCGAGATTTAAATGGGATAGTTTATGCTAAATTAAATGGCCAACTGTTGAATTCTTAACCGTGTTATAATCAAATCCACTGACGTTAGCTGTATTATGATAGATTCAAACATGTTTGAGTAATTCTGTATTATCCTGCATTTGAGACTGGAGTGCTCAAAAAAGTTCAGTTTTTACCTACCCCCATCCCTGCCCCAAATTTATGCTTAGTTGTAAATATTTGACAAATTGAGATCCAAATAGTACTGGTAAGATTCTAACATTTCACTTTTTAAGATAAAAAGCTGGGAGCAAATCAATGTTTTAGATTAATATTGCAATTTACAATGAGCAAACATACATGTTATAGTGCAATTGTAAATAATGTAAGATTTCTTACATAAACTGTTGTATTACTTACTGTATGCATTTATATTTTGTAGGGATCTGGCCATCAGTCTCAGGATCAAACTGGGAGATTGGTTCAGAGTTCTTCAGCTGCTCAAAAGTGGCTCAGGAGACAGTGATGATGCTCTACTGGAACAGGCTTACAATGCAATAGGAGACTACTTTGCTGACAGACAAAAATGGTATCATATTAAACTTGTAGATTCTTGTAATTCCTGTAAAGATGTTTTAAGTGTCTGTGGTTTTAGGGTGAATGCAGTCCAGTACTACCTCCAGGGCCGTAACCAGGAGCGGCTGGCAGAGTGCTATTACATGCTTGAGGATTATGATGGTCTTGAGCGGCTAAGCAATCAGCTACCAGATAACCACAAACTTTTGCCTGTAAGATGATTAATTAACTTACCATTATATCATGTAGTACAGCCCAATATTGTCAAAATTGTATAGTGATAATTGTATGAACTTCAATCTAACAAGTTTACATCTCATATAATTGCAGGACATTGGGCAGATGTTTGCTACCGTGGGAATGTGTGAACAGGCCGTCAATGCATATCTGAAGTGCAACCAGCCCAAAGCTGCTGTGGACACCTGTGTGCATCTGAACCAGGTTAACTGAACAATCCAAAAGCACCAATGCCTTGTGACAATACAGTTAACCTAGTCTACTTTATTCTTCTTTGAAACAAATCCATAAATAGTGTAATTAAGTCTACATCATGATTCTTTTTTATAGTGGAATAAGGCGGTGGACCTTGCTCGAAGCCACAACATGAAAGAAATCAAATCTCTTCTTTCCAAATACACGTCACACCTTCTGGAGAAGAATAAAACTCTAGAAGCAGTAGAGCTATATCGAAAAGCCCACCATTTTCTTGAAGCGGCAAAGCTCATGTTTAAAGTATGTTACTGTTCTTGAATACAGCATTTCGAATAGTATTTTGCCATTGTACTGATGTGCTCTGTTTAAAGATTGCAGATGAGGAGGCCAAGAAAAGGGCTCACCCTTTGAGGGTGAAAAAACTTTATGTATTAGCGGCTCGTCTTGTTGAAGATTACCATGAACAAGTGAAGACGACACAGCATGGAAAGGGCAAGAAGTCTGAGGTCAGCTTTGTTTGATTACTTTGCTCTTTACTCATATTTTCTGATGAGGTGTTCATTTATCCTTACGGATGTAAACTAGGCCACATTTGCCCTTGCTGGGCTGTTGGATGAAGATGCGTCCACTTTGGATAACCGCATTGTGGACAATGCTTGGCGCGGAGCAGAGGCATACCATTTTTTCCTGCTTGCACAAAGACAGCTTTATGATGGCTACACGGAAAGCGCAATGCGGACAGGTACTGAATGGAGTAATTATTTATAGATTGAAGAGAAAAAGAAATGCTACAGCTTAGGCAAATGCATACTTAAAATATCATTGCTGGTTTGCATACATACCTGGTAAATGATTTGTTTAAACAAACTATTTAGTTCATTGTGCTTTCATATATTTGATAAGCCTTTATACAATAACATGTAATACACATTTCCATATTAAAGCACTGCACCTCCGTGAATACGAGGACATCATCCCCGCTGTAGAGATCTACTCCCTCCTGGCGATCTGTGCCTCTGCAAACCGAGCATTTGGCACCTGCTCCCAGGCCTTCATCAAACTAGAGTCTTTGGAGAGTCTGAGTGCTGAGCAGAGACAGGCCTATGAGGACCTGGCTCTGGAGATCTTCACCAAACATACCCCCAAAGACAACCGGCCCCTCGACATGGAGTACATGGACAACCTTTTAGAGGGGTAAAGCCATTCACTGCTTCACATCACCTTCACTTAGTAAATATTATAACAGTCAATATGGCTGAATCCTGTTTTCTTCTTTTCAGAGGTGAGGGCCGGATACCCACCTGTATTGTGACAGGTCTCCCCATCCAGCATTCTCAGTGGATGTGCAGTGTTTGTAAACACTCTGCTTTAGACCAAGAGATAAGTAAATATACCTGCTGCCCGCTGTGCCACACCCTAAACACACAGATTTGAATTCTAAACACATTAGTTATAGCACAACTCAGATAATTTAACAAAAATAAAAAGACCATTAACTTTTTTTTGTAAACATAACACTCATTAACTTATTATCATTAGTTATTTCTGTGTCTTTATTTTCTTAACATGTTTTGTATTGTTGCTATATCATTGTATTGTAATGAATAAAGATCTCTTTGTACTCCTCTGAAAGCTAGTTCTCTTCTGCCATCTACTGTTTGCTAATTGTATTGCAACTGCCTTGACCCCGATGTTCGGGTTATAATAATGATAATTAACAAGTCCCCTTTTATCAAATATATGAAATTGATGAATATGAATTTTGTATTATTGTTTTATCAGATTGCGGCTATTTATTAGCCTACTGACTTAATTGTTTTTATGTTTTTACTTAAATATGCAATCGTTTTTAAAATTATCTATTAAAAAAAAAAAAAAAAGGCATGTTACAGCAGCATCCAGCAAGGCCGGTGTCTCTTCCACCAAGGTTAACCTTTACCTAGAAAAAGCATCAAATATTCACAGTAATTAATGTGGCACGACTGACCTGCTAACGCTGTAAACTGAGCGCACTAACGCACGCACGTTGGCCCCTTGTTTTTGGAAAAGTGTGGCACATTCGCATAGGGTTTCGGCTGTCTGGAGGGGAGCGGTTTTGTTTTTACCCCCCCTTTTTTTTTTTTTTTTACCCCAAACGCTCCAGAGTCGGACAGAGCGCGCGCAGGACACTGGGACCTGAACAATGTTAAACTCGAGGCATTTTTGCGCAGCAGCTTTTACGCACGGTTGGATGTTTTTATTTGGAAGAAGTTGAGCAGAATTTAAGGTAAACTATATAATTAACAAATGTGTTCTGTTACTAAAATTATATTAAATTGTTACACTTAAGATAAATGTGTCTTTTTTGCACTGCCACTGTTTGAAACGCTATAGCTTATTTACTGTGCGTAATTCTATACCGACCGGTTATAGGTCTCAGACTGCACGACTGTTAGACAAGTAGTGACGGTCACTATCTAATGCGTTTTAAATCATACTGCCTCATACTGTCTTTTACATTGTCTTTGTTGTCCATTTACATGTTTAAATGTGGCTCCAAAGTTTTATATAAATTCAATGATGTGTGCATGTAGCCTATAAAGTACACTAAACAATTCCCTATAGGCTACAATGGGGTCTGATGAGGTAAAGGTTTGAGAGTTCATCATATTGCTCTATTTCTTGTCTGCTAAAATAAAAAATGCAGAGTCAGAGATACCATTGCATATATCTCATTCCATTACAAAGTCACACAGAAAGCTCCATGTAAGGTGATCCTGTGGTGAGAAGTCATGATACTGTAAACAGCATGTTCAGGGTGTACTAATCAGTGTCTGCTATTGTGTCCAGGAAATCTCCTCTCACTCATGCAGCCATTATGCTGTACGGACAGATGTATGGACACATGGCCCACAGCAGGGATGACTGCTATATTAACGTCAATGTTGGAGGGTTCAAACAGAGGATGGACCCCCACATGTTGAAAAAGTTCCCGCAGACGCGCCTGGGACGTCTCCTGTGCTGCAGCTCACAGGAGGCCATCCTGGAACTGTGTGATGACTTCAGCCCCTCAGATATGGAGTACTACTTTGATAGAAATCCTCTGTTTTTCTGTTATGTGTTAAACTTTTATGTGACAGGGAAGATCCACCTGGTGGACGGTCTGTGTGTGGTGTCCTTTGTTCAGGAGATCGAGTACTGGGGCATAAAGGAGCGTCACCTGGACTGTTGCTGCAGTGATAAGTTCCTGGAGCTGCTGGAGGCGGTGGAGGACAAAGGCTGGGACAGTGAGGAGCAGAGTGTGGGTGGCTCAGGCTCCTCTGTGCAGCTCTCTGTCTCCGAGGACAATATGAACTTGTATGAGGGCTCCTGGTGTGGGGACACGCGTAGAAACATCTGGATTCATCTAGAGGACCCTGGACACAATACTTTAGCCAAATCACTGGCTGTGGCCTCTCTGAGTGCAGTGCTCCTGTCCATAATAGCCATGTGTGTGCACAGCATGCCTGACTTCCATGAGTTAGATGAAAATGAACGAGAGATTGAAAACCCAGTGCTTACTGTCATTGAAAACATCTGTGTTCTGTTCTTCTCTGCTGAGTTTGTTCTTCGTTTGGCTGTCGCTCCTTCGGCCAAACTGTTTCTGTGCAGCCCTCTTAATATGATTGACCTATTGTCAGTCTTGCCATTCTATGTCACCATAGTGTTTGACATGATGGACGAAGGGGAGAGTGCAGAGCTGGAGAACCTTGGCAAAGTAGTTCAGATCCTGAGATTGATGCGTGTGTTTCGTATTCTGAAACTGGCCCGCCACTCAGCAGGCCTTCGCTCTCTTGGCGCCACGCTCAGACACAGCTCCCGGGAGGTGGGTCTGCTGGTGCTCTTCCTGTCTGTGGGCATCTCCATGTTCTCTGCTCTGGTGTATTTTGTGGAGAAGGAGACGGAGGAGTCCACTCTGCAGACCATGCCTGTGGGCTGGTGGTGGGCCACCATCAGCATGACCACAGTGGGCTATGGAGACACCTTCCCGGTCACATTTCCAGGGAAAATCATAGGAACTCTTTGCATCATCTGTGGACTTCTGATTGTGGCCCTTCCCATTACTAACATCTTTCAGAAGTTCTCCAAGTTTTATGAAAAGCAAAAACAACTTGACCTTATTCGACGACGCACTGTAAAAACAACTGATTTCAGACCTTTACAAGAATAACTCAAGAAGGACAATGCATGGTAGAATCTATTTATTTAGGCCAATAATTGCATGGGCAATAAATTCACAAAAACACAATTATCCATAACCTCTTCCTCACATAAAAGTGTTCTTCAGTGTGCTCCTGCTGCCTGCACCACTGCAGTGGGCTCTGATATCGACAAGCATGTCCTTCTGTAACATCTCCATTGCATTGACTCATAATTGCTCTGTTCAATAGAAGACACCCCGCTGGTAGTGGGATTATCTTTGTAAGGACTACTTAATCAATGTGCCACTTAAAGTCAATAAAGGATTCATTAAAGGTGCTGAATAAACTGTTTTGTCACAGGGGCTATTGGACAGCTTTAAACCACGCAATCATCACATTAACTTGACCACTGAGTGTAACTAAGATTAACTTTTATTTTCTTTGGTTGCATCTCTTATATTGCATCCATATGCACTGCTGTGCTTGAATGACTTTGTAAATATTTTATGCAGTCACTTTCATCAACTTTATCTATGTGTTGTATTGTTATCTCACACTCAGATAAGACTGCACCGATCAATAGTACCAGGCTGCTATCAGGAGTGCCCTCCACAGCATTTAATAGCACATAATGCCCTCCCAAGAGAGAATACACTATAAATAATGGTTTTATAGCCAGCTATTTTTCAATGATCTAGAAATTAATAAGTAGCTTCAGGGCTCCAACATAAGTCAGCAGAAGTCTGTAGAACTGTGGTGGTCCTTTTCTCCTCTGCTGTCCTTGCTCAAAGGCATACCATGATTCAGTTCATTGCTTAGGCTCTATAACGGAAAGTGGCCATCAGCAAAATGGTCCCACGAGTGAAGGGCGGCCAGTTTTCTGTTCACACACAACACACTTTGCATCACATAACACTTTGCATCACATACAGTCAACTTTGTACTATTTTTAAACTTAGATTAACTATTGAGAATTATAGTTTTCTGGGAATGCACTAACCCAACACTATGGCTTTGTCAAATCTTTCATTTTAAAAACAAGCATGGTGGAAAGAGAAATCAAAATTGCACACAGGGCTAAATGAATCAAAAAGACTCAACATGAAATGAAGTACACGTCGTACTTCTTCATTGTGTAACTTTTTTGGTTGGGGATAAGTCACCTGCTTGTTTCTATAGATATGTCACTGCTCTGCCTGGAATGTTCCACAGCATGACATTAAACAGCTCTACCTTACATTTATTCAGTTACATGTGGTTGATCTCCATGAAGATAAATAGTTTAATGCCATACTGTGAAACATTCCAGACAAAGCAGTGACATCTACATTTGACGGACCATTCACCAGAAAAGTTACACAATGCACCTTTAACTATAAACACTAAAACATATCTACAAATAGTACAAACATTTTCATTGTAACACTTCTCTCTCTTACATTAACTGACTTACACAGGGCATTTGTAAGAATAGTAAGTAAAGAATAAACTTTCACTTACGTTGTTTTCATGTCTGAGGTGTAGACTAGAAGTATGTGGTTTCATTTGTCAGACTTTTAAGAAAATCACAGGTATTTCTTCCTATATAAAGTAACTCTTACCTTATCTTACCCAACAAACGTAACTCTATATGCTTACATCACTGGTATCACATTGATCTATGAATATTCCTTCCACTCTCACAGTGAACTTACTCAGCAGGGGAGAGGAGTGCAGTGTACAGCTGAATAACCACCTCCATTTGCGTACATATTTATAATGCTTAGGCCAATCCATTCCAATTGTTATTAGATTCTGTTGTTTCGAGAGATAAGAAATCAATCAACTCTCTAATTATCCTCTGTGGTCTTCTCTGCTTATTCAGCCAAACTGTGATTCATGCATGCATGCACCACTTTGTATGTCAATAAGAAGAACCAAGCCAAACATTAGAAAGATTAGGTATAACATTATGATCATTGTAAAGTGCATTAAGCTGGTTATCTATTCATTGCACCTTTTCTCTTAGGATATATTGGTTTGCAAGTGGGCATTACGAAATGGTCTGTCAGAAGCAAAAGAAGTAGAAGTACTCTGTTGGGCCTGCACAAGTATACTATACTATATTACGTTTATTTGTTGCATGGGGATCCAAAGTACACACTTCTTCAGGGAGATGGCTGACTTACTGATCGATTTACATGGACTAGGTATCTACACAGCTGCAGTTCTTGGTCAAAAACCTGTCTTCTCAAATCAAATAAGGTCAGTAAAAAAGGAGGTGTGTGTTATTCTGAAGGTCATTACAAGTCCACATAGTACATATAAGTAGGCCTGCAAAGACTCAGGGTGTCATAATGTTCGTTTGACACGTGTTCAAACAGTACGTGCTATCCTTGTTTTAGCGTGCATGTAAGTGCTGCAGGTCACCTACAAAAGTCATGGATCACATTTCAGGATGTTTAGCTCTTTTGTAAACACTATATTTCCTAGCATAGCATTGCCTGACTCAGCTGAAGTTTAACATATGGTTTCATTTTATATTGAGCGCCTAATGTGATTTCAACTATTGATATCTTACAAACGGGAACACCCTGCATTTTTCCACAAGGTAAAATGAATTTGCATTGTCAGGACAAGGCTGTCTGCGTCCACACACACTCACAGGAGCAGGGATCAGGTTTTAGGATTGATTTTTGTTTATGCAACGAATGAAAAAGATGAAACTAAATTCTACACTGTCATACATACCAATATTTGTTTAAAAGGGTGAAGATCTAGCGGCTTAAACAATGACAATCTCATGATGATATTTTTAAGAAGGCTTTGATGCCTACATCAATGATTTAATCATTTAAGTTTATGGATTATTGTAGTTTAATAACGTTCTTTCATTATTATCATTATTAAGTTCTTTAGCCTGTGCTGCCATCTCGTGGTAAGTACACAATATTGTAGTAAAGAGGGATCGGGACAGTAGAACCAGGGCTGGAGCACGAAATCCTGGAGTCTGGGCACATCTTGCTGAGCCCCGCATGTTCTCTTTATGATAATTAGTAAGTATAAACTTTGTGAGGATCCCTCCCTGCTCTGGGCCCACCTACCCCCTGTCCCCAAACACTGTTTTGTACGATTACTTGAAAAATTCGGGCTCCAGGTCATGTAGGGTTTATATATCTTAGCAATTTTCAACCATCAAAAACAGCTAATTGAAACCCTGCTCTTTGTTGTGGTAAAATGCATCTATCAAGATGCAGGTCTTTCAGCTCTGAACAGGGAGTCAGTATGCCTGTTTTTAATTTTATTTTAAACCAATAAGACGGTTTACAAATAATGATCTACCTATGTTGTGTATTCTTTAAAGGCAGCAGACACTGCAACAGACCAAGCCTCCCCTTTTGACATTCAGAGTGAGAATGAGTTGAAACTGTAGGCTTACTTCACTGCAATAAGTGATGTTTTCACTTTACACATTATGGGGCATTTATGTCATCGTAATAATAGCAATCCCCGCTAGGGGGCAGGGATACACCGTATGTCTGTCTATAGCCTATAGTAACATATAGTTACGTACATAGGGTATATTATTAAATATATTAGTGGTGGAGAAAGTGGCTCTTATATGAATTAAAAAATAATAATAATAATAATAAAAAATAAAAAAACTTAACCATGAAGGCTAATTTTTCAGAAAACATCTTACTAAAATGAACCCTTAATTAGGAGCACACATAAATGGCTAGCCCCTTTGTGAGGCTGAGGCTCTGTAAGTTTGGCCTCTGCTGTCTGATCTGATCTCATTATAAGTGGTAACAAGCTCAGCACAGAGGAAAATCTGATTTTAAACCCTGTCTAAATGTGTTGGGGTAAATAAGAAGTAGAGCTGGAGGGATGGTCTGACAGACAGTAGATTGAGCATTTGTTGGGTTTTGACAATTCTCTTTTCACAGCTGGAACCCAGACTGAAAATGAGATTCTGGGACTTGTTATGATGTAAAAAAAATCTCCAGGCAAAATGTCTGTAAAAGCGCTATAAAACATGTGTATTCCAGGGTTATATTTTTGTATGTGGAGATGTGTATGTACAAATTGTTCCTGACTGTTTCTAGAATGGTCAAATGGATTTAACTAAAAATAAGTGGGTCTTCTTCTTATTTTTTTTTTTTCAATTCCAAGGGCCCACACACATGCTAAATAATACCACATTACTTTTGGTAGCTATAACTGTTATAATTTAGAAATATCTGAATTGAAAAAGAGAGTCTAAGAAACACATAAACACATCATTCCAAGATGAAAATGATTTATTATTATTATTCATTTAAATTAACAAACACTGCTATACATATTGCTGTTTTTATCCATTTTGAATCATTTTAAACAGTTAAAGCATTTGGAAATCAGTTAAGAGTTGAAAACAAGTGACAGACAGTAGATGACAAGTACATCAGAAGATCTACAGTAAATGGCTTTCCTATGTGTCTCTATTGGAGGCTTCTTGTACATTCACGCACACACACAACCACACACGTCACTATTTTTGGTTTTCATCCATCAAAAACCGCCCCCAATATGGCCGACGTCTTCCCAAACAGCAGCAGTTGTTGATTTGTCACTTTTCCTGCTTCCAGCGCAACAAAAGACAAGCAAAGTTGACCCCACTATCACAGGAATGTACGAAGTAAGCAATATAAAATAATCACACTTATTGTCCTTCTCAGTGCACTGTATTGAAAACCCCATTTCCCTTTAAACATTAGTAGAAATTATTTAAGAAGTGCTTCGCAGAACTTCAAAACTTCAATCTCAGGCCTGCTGCAGAAAGAGTCCACCTCAACTTGGTAAATGTGAGGAGAAAAATACTTATTTGGCCCATATGGCTTATCTAAAAGTTTCTACTAAGTACCTCAATGTTGGCAAATGTTCACACGCCCCAAAATCGGCATAATTCTTGACTCAAAATGACAGATTTACAAACACAGCATAAACAGGGTTGACATCATTGGCAGCTGGCGACAGTCTAGCCCACAGTGGCTTTTTCATATCTGGA